ACCTTGATTGTTGATAAAAATAATCATTCAAATGGATGGATTGATGAATGATTACTTATTATTATTGAGGGTTTCAATATTTTTGAATATATATATATATATATATATATATATATATATATGGATTCGACTCGTATGCTCCTGACACATAGCATGCGACAGATCTTTGTACCGTTGATCTAATCTAACGGTCATTATAAATTATGTTAAAATTAATAATTATAATTACTACTTCCACCCCTTAAATAATTATATATGCTATGAAGTCCCCCAACAAAGATTACCATTATGTTTTCTCGTATGATACCATATTTCACGAACTTCTTTAATAAAACACCCAAAATTCTATAATTGGTAAAAAAAATGTCCATTAAAATTTGCTCCAATTAATGGATCATCATCATCCCACAGTCCAATTCGACCACCATCTTCATCATCTGTTCATCATAACTTCCCCAATAACCAACTCTTTATTTGACCATCATCATCCAAACCAAATAACCATCAAAACCTAAACCCTATTGAAGAGCAGAGCAGCGAAGAGGAGTGAACCACAGAGAAAGAGTAGTAGCAGTAGCATTTTTCAAGTTGCTGGGTATCCCCTTGTTTTTAGTTTTTCTTCTCTTGCTTCCGATATATGCTTCAACATATCGACCTATGCTTTCTATGGAACCTATGAAAGGGTCACCGACATCCATCGCCGGCGATAACCCAATTTAAATTAAAGAACCAGTTTCGTCGATTCGCATAAGCAAGAACTTGGACTGGATTCCGGCGACTGCATGCAGAATGAGAGACGGAGCTTATGAAAACGATGAAATCATCGTTGAGGGAGGCACATGAGGCTACCAATCTAACTTCTCCATCAACAATTTTCGATTACCCTTCCTCATGTGTGACCTCGCGTCCCCACCGCCATCTCCATCAATTTCGTCTTCATGCGTTTCTAGTATAAATTTTCTTCGCCTATCCTCGCTATCCCCATCGATTTCGTCCAGAGACGTTCGGATTGTAAGAGTTCAGCTTTCGATCAGCCCTTCCTCATCCACCTCTACAAACCACGATTCATTCCCTTAATCCAGTGCTTGGCGATGGGAAGAAAACGGAAAATCCAGTGCTTGGCGATTGAAGACGGCTTGGGAGGAGAATTGATTCGACAATCAAAGGAAGAGAGGAGAGGGTTCGTAGTTCGTACCCGATGAACGACAAGAGGTAAAGCCGTAAAGGGGATGTGGAGTTGTTACGATGGCTCTGGGATTACATCTACCAAGTACCAACAGATGAAAAATTAAGTAGCTTGATGGAGATACATTTACAAAAGTAGGGTGTTCAAGTGATAATTAAAAGAAAAGTAGGTACGTGAATATGAAATGATATGAAAATTTATGCATATGGACTAAAGAGTACGTATAAAGAAGTAATAGAACCAATTAATTATTTATATATTGTAAAATAAAAAAAATTAATTAGGATTAATCAACACCATCAGATTAGATCAACGATGTGGAGGACCTGACATATACTATGTGTCAGGAGCATACGAGTCTGACCCATATATATATATATATGGTGGCTACTTCGGTGCACTCACTTTTATGGGTGTACTCAGTGCACCCATCTCTAAAAGTGTCCATAGTACATCAAATTTTGAACTTTAATTAGTACTCTCAATCTAATATGATGATATGACATAGAATCATAACAAATGAATCTATTACCCTAACCCCTTAACCTTCAATTTTGAATCCCAATGCAAAATCCCAAACAGTAAACTTAAACCCTAACCCTAAACCCCTAAATCCTTCAAATTAAAGTAAAATTTAAATGATTTTTTTTTTCAAATTCATGTGCTTCTTGTTCATAATATCATAAGCAACAATTGATACCGTTTTGACATGAATCGCATGCTCAGAATGATGATTATGAGGCGGGTGCACTGAGTGCACCCAAAAAAGTGGGTGCGCCGAATACGCCACCATATATATATATATATATATATATATATATATATGGTGATGACTGGTGTGTATATATATATATATATATTTAATAATTTTAGCCATCCAAGCATTATTGCCTCAAAACCTTAAATTTGTATTACGTCTCCTCAAATTTTTATAAAATTTCTTCAAATTCCTCTTAGTTCTCCTAGTCTCTATCTAGTCTAATACTTTCTTTTCCCGTATTCTATTTTTCTCCTTAATTTGGTTAATTCCCCTTAATTGTATCTTTCTATTAATTGAAATTGTAGCTGAGATCCTCTCCCTCATCAAGTTCACTAACTCTAACATTGGCAAAGTCTTTCTTATTTTCTTGACTTTTATTGAAAGAAAAAATCGAATAGTAAATGTTTGCAAATATAACATATTATTTAGTGCAAACTAAGTAAAATTGTCCCCTCCTTATGCTCAAAACTGCATACTCGCTAATAGGATTCACGATGTTTGTAATCGGTGTGCTTAATCTCGACCTTCAACTCCGTTGCCTCAATTTGTAGGAGATAAAAAGTTGGAGATCCTCTCATTCTGTCACATGCTTGGAATAGTTTCCTAGCATGCATTCCGAAACCTCTAGCTTACTTGTGATATAGAACAATCAAGTTAGACTTAGCCATTTTTTCTACAATAATAAGTGGGATTTTGAATATGTCAACTGACAAAAAATGAGATTCACTATTTAGTAAAATATTTTTTTGTGTTTAGTGGATTTGATGTTTATTTTTTCTGAAAAAAATGAGTTGAAAATAATGGAAAAGTAAAAATTATTACCCAATTGCGTGAATGCCATTAGCTGTGTACCTATATCTTGCTCCATAAAGTAACCTTCACAATTTTGAAATTGATAGTATTTTTAATGTGTCCCAACCCTGGGTATATATGAGAATAAAATTATTTCCAAATTCTATTTGTTTTTCATTAATGAATAAATAATAATTACATTTTTAAAATAAAATATTTTCAGAATTTTCATTCATCAATCCCACCCAAAAAATCTACAAATGGTTAAAATTTTAAAATTTTATGTTACTTTTACAAAAAATCTACAAATGGTTAAAATTTTAAAATTTTATGTTACCATAACTAAAAGTTATAGTGGCATGAATCCCACATGATATCTAACAAATCTACTAATAATTAAAACACAACAATAAAAAACGTTCTCACTCTCGAGTTGGGCCCCTAGAGGAAGATCACCATTTTTATCTTTGTTTACTCACTATCGTGTTGAAGTTTTCACAAAGCTGCCCATAAGAGGCTCTTTCACCAGTAATTTGGTTGCATATGATCTACCGCGTATGTTTAATTAGAGTCGGCTTGGAAATTAGTCTACAAACAATTAATTTTTTTTTTGCATGTAACTAAAACTAAATTTACAATGACATGAAACCCACATGATAAAACCTCATGTTTTGGAAATTAGATTATGTATTAAAAATGAACTATGCTTTAAAAGACCATTATGATTTATTATTTGAATTTGCGGATATCTTTTAGCTGGATTAGAAGGGAAATTAGGGGAACAAGTAACAAATTATGGCTAAGCCCATACATATTCTGCTTTAGTCGAACCTTGGTAGAAGAGGAAGCAAGTTAAGTACAAAAGTGAGATTGCACGGCAAAAGAAAAAAAAGACCTACTCCACAATTACCAAGAGGCCCTTCCTTGAGTTGCATAGGGAGCTGCAATTTTACAATTACTTACGTTCCCACGCGGAACGTCTATATAGGATTGGAAAGGAGGATTTGTTGTCTAGCCATATGTGGTACTTATCTTGCGTCTTTGGTCATATTTCTGAAATATTTTGCTGGAAGATCCAATCAGTCAAATAAGCCCTTTCGGCACCGTGATCACTTAATAAGTGGGTCATTACTAGTTTGATAATAACAAGGGAACCTATAAAAAAAACAAAAACAAAAAAAATAACAAGGGAAGAACATCCACCGCACTTACAGAAAAGTCTTGGATAGGGGATTAGTTGGAACATGATATAATTTAGCTAATTGCCTCGATTTAATGAGTAAATTCAAATTTCCAGCCCCACTTTGGACAATTGTAATTGCCTCAAAACGAGTTAATTTGATTCTCGAAATCAAATTGTTTCGCATAAAATTTATGATGATAAACGAGTTAATTTGACCCAATTGTCCTAAAATAAGACAATTTAATCAAATTGATCAATTAGAATTTCCAATAAAGATAGAAGTAGAAGTGGGGCAAATAAACCCACAAACACAAATCATTTGTTATTTTCATGGTTACCAGCCAGCCAGGCAGCCAACCACTTTCTCTTTTGCAGAGGAGACTTACTATTACTAGTGGTGGAGAGGTCAAATTGCAAAAGAACAATGGTGGACGACACAAAAACGAGAAGCACATGATGTATCCTATACTCCCTCTCGATTTTGGCTTTGCCAAGAATAACAATGTATCACTATAACCCTCCTCCCCTTGCACTTGCAACCTACCCAATTTGACTGGCATCCTGAACCAAATTAAAAATCAGAAACAAAAAGCACCAAGTTTTGTCCCAAAAGCCAAATAACAAGCAAAAGGAAGGAGAGGAGAGGAGAGGAGAAGCGTCATCCTACACATCCCCTACCCATGGCTACAAGCAACCGACCCCGCCCACACTTTCTGCACAATTAACATCTTTTGCATTTGCCAAAAGCAAGGGCGATATGGCCCAATGGGCTGGATCCATCTCCTCCCACCCTCATCATGAAAAGACCATACTCACCAAATGAGAGGGGGAAAAATAACCCAAAAAAAGCAGACTATTTAAGATGTGTATTCCGGTGACCATGTGCTGCTCAAATGCTGGACTTCCTTCCGTTCTTCAATCCTTACTCATTTCCCAAGTTCAGTGAACCATCCTTCATCAGCTTGATGCTTAGGCTGTTGAATCTCCCTCTCGAGTAATGTCGAGAAGCTTTCCTCCAGTCTGTTCCTGTTTTATCATCGCCGCAAATTCAACGTAGCTGATTTTCCCATCCTGCAATATCATGCAATTGTTGATTGTTGGAGGAGAGCAAAGTGTTGTTGCCAATCTCCGCCAATTTTCAAAGGAGTAGAGCCAAAAACCAGAAATCCGCCCCTGAAGATGTCGTTTGCTACATTTGTACAATCATCAGCGCCATCTTCCATTAGAGCATCCTGGAGCTCCTCTGGTTTGATATAATCATTCCCATCCTTGTCAAAGTACGAGAAGGCCTTCCGCAGATGCTCGTCGTGTGCCATTCTTTGTAGGTGCAGTGAAACTGCAAGAAACTCGTTGTAGTCCTACGTGCCTTTCCCATTTGTATCTACCTGTTATCATCATAAAACAATGATGATTTTATTTAACAAAGGAACAGACTACGAAAGGTCACGACACTTTTGGTTCAAAACCTAATAGGAACTTGTTTTCCCTTTTATCCAATTTTCCAAAGAGACTCAGCTACTTAATAAACTTATAGATGCGCAACGCATAACCTACTTTCAGTGTCCACGGAGAGCTAGTTCCTTTGATCTAGGGTGAGAGCAGGGAAAGAAAACCAAAAGATCCACAATATGAAAACCTACAATCTTCTCTGTGGAAAGATGCAACTCTTTCACAAAGTGTGCTATTCCGGGGAAAACGAGATTGTATACTAATGCACGCCAACTTTTCACCAGGCAAAGCATTTCCATTCTTAAATCAGGAGATGTAACAGATGGCAAGTCGAACTAATTTCCCCACTATGGAAAAAAAATTCAAGGCATATTCCAACAGATTTGGTACTGATCGGATAAATAAAAATTTGTATACTCACAGCTTGTATCAACAATTGAACTTCTGGTTCTGCAAGCTGGGATTGGTTACGGAGACCAACTTTTCGTTCTTCAATTGAGACAACACCGTCCTTGTCAGTGTCCATCTTCTTGAACATTTCTTTAATGTCCCCAACCTCTTCCACCGACAAGAAGTCCGCAATCACCTAATCACAAGAAGTGAAGGTCATATATCCATATGCAAACGCGTTATTCATAATAAAGATTTTAATAACGGATTAAAGACCAACCCGTAAGGCTTTTCTCTTGAACCTGTTCATCATAGAGAACTGTTTAAGCCTTGATTTGACAACATCTCCGAGCGGAACATTTGGAGCTTTTTTGGCATTTTGCAGCCATGGATGCTCTACAGATAAGACATATATAACCGTAAGGCAACCAGAACTGGCAGTGATTAAGAAAGATAGGCATCATAAAAATAATATTCAACGCACCAAGAACTTGCTTTGCGATTAACCGAAGTTTTGGGTCTGGCTCTAACATTGCCTTGACCAAACTCTTAGCACTGTCAGAAATATTTGGCCAAGGATCCCGTTTGAAATCTATGACTCCGCGGAGGATGGCCTGCGCAACTCCTTGCTCAGACTCTGAAACTAGAAGAGTAGTTTGCTAAACTGAAGGGCAAGTAAACTGGTATGTGGTTAAAAGGGTTTTACCTGGCTAACCCTTTGGTAGAATGATCCATTGGGAGTAGAAATTTCTGGCAACAAAGGAACAGTGCACATGCTTGCACATAAACAATCCAAAGATAGAAGACGGAAGAAACGGTAACTGAAGAGAGAACAAGACTTACCAGCCCAAAATGGAGGAACCCCACACAACAAAATGTAGAGCATAACCCCTGCACTCCATATGTCAATTTCAGGCCCATAGTGCCGCTTAAGCACCTCCGGGGCCATGTAATATGGACTGCCAACAATTTCAGAGAACCTCTCCCCTACAACAGTTACAGGTTAGGCAGGTAATTGATTAGAACCCATAATCACTTGAATGGTGCGTTATTAACGCCATGGATCCCATGCAAAAGGAGGTGGCATCGCAGTAGGACATGTCAAGAACTAACAAAGATCCATTTGATATGAAGCAAGAATATGCCTGGATTAAAGTTCAAAGCAGAGCAAGGTAGATCGAAACTAATATATGGCTTTAGTAAAGCCTTCTGACGTATTGCTAGCTCAAAGCCCACCAATTTTGTGGCAAATAGCTCTGCTATGCAACATCCAAAGGAGCTATACCTATAACAGCAGATAACTAAGGGAACATGCTAAGGAATGTTAATTCTTTGCCCATTGATCGGCAGCTTGGCCAATTCAGTCCACATCCTTGGAGTCTTGAGTGTACTTGCCATCCATAGAAGGAAGCTATTCTACAAAGGAGAATAGAACTACTTAAAGGCCATATCGACCTGAAGTCAACCAGCCTAACCTCAATCCCAAGTTTCAACTACGAAACTGTTAAGCTATGGCGGTCCAAGGTTTGACCCCAACCATGTTTCTATGATTAACCTAATTTCCTTATTTATTCCAGACCATTCACATGTTATTCTTTGCACACAGCCGCAAACCTAATCCAATGATCAGCCCCTAATTAACACGTATTTCAACTTCCCTTCCTTCCAGAAATTTGACTATGGAACACGAGGGAGAGCTTGTCCAAACAAGGGGCACAAGTAGTTGATTTTGCCTAATACGACACTACATTTCAAAATTCCCAAATCGAGCAACCAAGCCCTCATATCATTAAATCAATAGAACAAATCTCTACAAGTCGGATACTCACCTGTCTTGAAGAAAATAGACAGGCCAAAATCAATGGCCTTGAGAGGCGAATTCTCTTTCTTATTCGCGAACAAGAAATTTTTGTCCTTCAAGTCCTTATGAATCACCCCATGCTTGTGGCAGAGCTGGACAACTTCCACAATAGTTCTAGTGACAGAAGCAGCGGCCCGTTCCGTATAATGATCCCTGGCCACAATCCGATCAAAGAGCTCCCCACCCTCACACAACTCCATCACTAAGTGCACGAAATTGTCGTCCTCGCAAGCCTCCTTCAAGTTCACTATACTCGAATTCCGGGGCAAGTGCTTCATAATCGCCACTTCCCTCTGCACATCCTCGATATCCAGCGTCGTCCTTAGCTTCCGCTTGGAAATGCTCTTGCAGCCAGCAAGTCTCGACTCCCCCTTTCGATACAGAGGTAGGTAACCCCGAACTCGCCCTAGCCGAACTCTCGATCGATCAGGTACCTCCCCTCGATATTCTCCTTAGCGACATCGGACAACACAGTAATCGGCAGTTTACTCTTGCCCGAGACGGCATCCTTATTGGCGTGATCATGGCCGGAGAAGCTAGATTTCACGTCCTCCCTGGCTACGGCCGCCGGAGATCTACAACAATTCCCCATCCACCGCCGAGACAACCGTCTGGATCTTTCAAACTCCGAAAGAGAAACAAACAAGTGCTAGATAAGAAAGGACCTCCCCCCCCCTAGCTAGGGTTTCGCCTCCACATTCTACAAGTGAAAGAAACCCCACCACGACGAAGCCCCCAGTTCTATAGATAGAGCGAGGGAGGTGATAACACAAAGGAAGCTAAGAGAGAGGAATTGAAAGCGAAAAGGGAGAAGATAGCTGTGAAATCAGTGAAGGAAGGAGTATGAGTGGGTTAGGCTGGCTTTTTCTCTGTTGAGATCAGTTCAGCTCTCTCCCTTTGTACATATAAAACATTTTCTTTTCCTTATTATTAGCCCTTAAAAATTAAAAATGTCGTATTGTTTGTGTTACTTTCTCTTCCTTATTTTTATTTAATTTCAGAGAAGGAGGAAAAAGATCGAGTCGCCGGTTGCCGGATGCATGAGATTTTGGTCGACGAATGGATGTTGGAATATACGCGGCGGCCAGAGGAGGGTGAGCATGGGAGCAGGAACGCAGAGGCGGAGAAGGAAATGGAGGAGAGAGAAGCGGAAAGGTTTACTTTTTTTTATTTATTACAAAGGCATACACTTTTCCATTACTTGTGGCAAAAGGCAAGGGTTACAGAAGAGGGGCAACAACATCAAGGATTTGAATCCATTCATTAGGGAGTTGTTTCTTGGCACAAGATCTAGCTACCCAGTTCGTTTTGGAGTTCCTTTTCCTGTTGATGTAGTCAATCTTGATCATTGGATGAGACGCTGTCAAATTCTTGATGTGGCCAAGCCATGCAGCCCACCATAGCCAGCTCTTAAACGACCCTCGACGAGCCTTCACCAAGGAAAGGCAGTCTGTCAGTACAATGCATGGAGATGAGAGCTCAACAGCCAAATGAGAACCCTCCCATAAAGCCTTCGCTTCTGCTTCAAGTGGGGAAAAACAATGCAGGGACTCAGCTCTCCCATCACAGACTAGACTATGGCTGTTCGTAACCACGACGCCATATGCTGCCTCCTCGGAATCGTTGAAGAACGATCCATCACAGTGTATCTCAAAGTCATGAGTACGTGGCGGTGGTGAGGGATGATCCAGGGGTGGGGTGGGCTGAGCTTGTGAGCGTGAGTTACTTTTCTTCCTAGGGCATGTGTGCCATTGATGGTGCTCAATCTGCGCTCTGGAAATAGTTGCTGGAGGCCATGGTGTTTTGTCTTTGAAGATTCGATCATTTCTGGATTTCCAAGTCTACCATAAAAGAAAGATGATCTTCTGAATTGAAATGATCGAGTAACTTGATCTTAGTGAATCGAGCCACTCCAAAATGTTAGTGAGGGGAGGAGGGCTGTTTAAAGATGCCCACTCTCGAGTCCATCCTTCCATTGCATGCAGGCACAAGAAAAGGCAGTGGTGGATGGATTCTGTCTGAAAAGTGCACAGAGGGCAGCTCTTGGATGGGGAGCACTTTCTCGCGTGGAGATTTTCCTTCGAGGCAAGAGATCTTTGGAGCATCGCCAGATGAAGAACTTCAGCTTTGGAGGGAGAGACAGGGTCCATAACCATTTCCCTCTTTCCTTGATCGAATCAGGGAACTGGCCCACGTTCCCTTGAACCCCTCGGACTTGGTTGTGGAAAAGGTGGAAAGCTGACTTGACCGAGAAGTTCCCTTGCTCAGTAAACCTCCAAGCCTAGACGTCGTCAAGGAAGGCCGGTCCAATAGGGGTGGCCGCCACTTGATGAATTACCGAAGGGTCAAGGAACTCTTCGAGCAGGTCAAATTTCCATTCTCTAGAGATTTCATAGATCCAATTGTCAACTGTTGAGGAGTTAGGACTCCCACCAGTTAAGAGAGTGCCTGCTTGATGGAATCGCCATGGATCCTGAAACATTCTTGTCGATTTCCCATTGCCGATGACTCTAATCACCCCTTGCTCCATCCATTTCTTTGCTTTCCAAAGACTAGCCCAAATCCATGAAGCTTTGCTTCCCTTTTTGACAGAGAGAATCAGACCTTGGGAAGTAAATGCTTTTCAGAACCTTAACCTACAAGGCGTCTGGATTGGTGAGTGTCCTCCACGCCTGTTTGGCAAGAAGTGCCATATTAAAGATGTGGAAAGGTCTGAAGCCCAATCCAGCTTCATCTTTAGGGGTATATATCACATGACCTGCTATCCAGTGTATGGTCCTTTTTGCCATAGTCCCTCCCCAAAAGAAGTTTTTGAGCAAGGAGTCCATTTTATTGGTGATGGCTCAGGGGAGGAGGAAAAGGCACATAATGAACGACGGGATAGCCTGAAATACTGCTTTAAGCAAACTTTCCTTACCTCCTGGTGAGAGGAGTAGACTCTTCCATGAATCACCCTTACTCTCCATACGTTGAATTAGGAAGTGGAAAGTTTCTCTTTTTGATCTTCCCCATTCAGTGGGAACACCGAGGTACTTTGAGTGGAAGTTTGAAGCCGCAAACCCAACCGTTTGGATAATCGTCTCCTTTTCATCATTGGGGACATTGTGGCTTAAGAAGATCGAGGATTTTTCTCTGTTGACTTCCTGTCCCGTAATCTACCCATAATCATTGAGGATAGTCAAGATTTTCCCAGCTTCTAATGTCGAAGCTTCGCCAAAGATAACCGTGTCGTCCGCAAACAGGCAGTGAGTGAGCGTTGGGCAGTATCTGTTGAGCTTCAGGCCACTGATCTCCTGTCTTTGGACAACCTTCTCAATCAAGAAAGAGAGGGCATTGGACATGTGAAACTAAGGCTTCATGTGAAACTAAGGCTGGGAAGTTTGTCAGAAGGGATTCATCAAAATTCCACCCTTCGCTCTTGAAAAGGTTGTGGTAGAAAATATTGACATGTTCTTCAAGTATCTGAGAATTTTCAATCCAGTTCCCCGCGTCATCCTTCAACTTCAGAATCCGGTTTCTGTTCTTTTTTTTAATAGTGCTAGCATGGGAAAAATTCGTGTTCTGGTCTCTCACGTCATCCTCCAGGAGGTCTCCCACAATAAGCCACTTCTCGTCCTGGGAGTTTCTTAGGATCGTAAGTCGATCCCAAAGGGCTCTTCTCTCCACCGTCGTGGTGGGAGCATGGACAAAAGTACAAAATAAAGCCTCCCCATCCTTACTTATACATACATCTATATACGATTTACACGAGTCAATGACGCTAACATCCACATCATCTTTCCACCATAGAGCTAGTCCACTACCTTCTACTGCAGGGCTAACATACTTAGACTGATCAAACTTCATTGCTCTTCTCTTCTCTTCCAGAAAGGAGTAATCTTTTTTGGTCTCCATGAGAAAGAGTACTGAAGGGCCAAATTGTCGACAGAGTCTGCCGCAGTAGCTTCTCGTAAGGGATTGGCCAAATCCCCTACAATTCTAGCTAATGATCCTCATTCCTGATTTGGCGGCTTGAGGCCTGCCTCCGTCGCCCTCGGAGAGTGGGAGTCCCCTTCCCCGGATTGGTTTCCATCAGCCGTTATTTCTGCTATGCTTCTTCTTCTAGTTACATGTTTCCTCCTTTGGTACGTCTTTCGATTATCACCTGGAGCAAAAGACAGAGAATCAAAAGACAGGTTAGTAGAGGCACCTATTTGCGGGAGAGAGCTAGTTGGGCTGTGTCTGCTATCCGGCTTACTCTTCTTCTACGGCCTGGGCCTGTCTTCCTCTCCACCAGTCATCATCTCTGTCTCTGCATTTGGAAGCGGAGCCGGATTTTATGCGCTCAGCGGCTGGGCCAGATTATCCGCTCCTGAAGGTGAGAAGCTCAGTTCTGTCTGGATATAAAATGGGCTTGCAAGTGAGAGGTTTTCGCCTCCGTTTCGATGAGGCCCGCAGTCTTCTCTCTGCTACTGTCTCTTTCGCCTAGGTCAAGACTTCTTTGCATGGCCCTTGCAGTCGCTTCCAGTTCCATTTGCAGGAAAGCAGGTTGGAAGCTGGGGGTGGGGTTTCTGACTTCACCGCTCTGAACCCATCATGTACTCCTCCTTGTCGTCACCAGTTCTAGGGCAGTGAATCCCGATGGGCACGACTGTGGGCTCTTTCCGGTGTGGCCTACCATGCTCATGAGATAGGATTCACCTCGAGATCCGCGTATATGGCTAACAGGGTGTCTAGTGATAGTCGGGCGGCGCGATCTGGCCAGCTTTTCCCTGAAGGAGGCCGGCAACGTGTTTGCCGGTGAATCATGGCCAGCTTTGAGAGCAGCGGTGTACACTTCCGATGGGTCGATATGTAACCCTCTTCTCCGGTGATCTTCTCTTTTCAGGCAGTTGTGGATCAAGTGCCCAAGTTTCCCACAGAAGTAGCACAGATCCATTATCCTCTCGTACTTGAAGCTGACCTAGATGGATCGTTCTCCAATAGGGTACTCGAAGTCGATTGGTATGGGTTGGTCAGCTGCACCTCCACTTTCGCTCTGATGAACTTCAACCATCCTCCGAAGTCAATGTTGGATCGATCAATGCAATGGAATTGGGGGAAGATGAACTCAGCGACCGCCTGGATTGCTTCCTCATCTTTGAGAGATTGGGGTAGGTCATGCATTTGAACCCATAGTGTGACTGTGGGTATGTCAGCTGATTCAGCCTTTTGTTCACCATCCCATTTCTTCAGGGCGATCAGGGTGTTGCTGAGATTCCACGGCCTGGCTTCCCAGACTTCATCTCGTTGTTTGATCGAGTGGAAAGTGTAGACGAATAGGTTGTCGGCTTCTTTTGTTGCTTGGACATCCCCGTAGGCTATCCATTTGCTGATTGCAGCATTCTTTGCCTTGTGCAGGTTGATGCTTGCATCGGTGATCCACTTGCCGAGGAGCATGGCCATTCCGCTTCCTCTCGCACCCTCTATTGTTGGCCTCACGTTCAGCACCAGGTGACTTTTCTCTCCCCTCAAATTCATTGTGGTGTTCTCCATGGTGTGGCTGAGAGGGGGAAGTTTGGCGGATTTTGAGTACTATTTTTTCTCTGTGTTTGGTTTGGAATAAGGAGAGTG